TATGTTAAACTTGTTATAGCATGCATCAACCTTCTATTGAGTGACAACTTTGGTAAGCTTCAAAAGAGAATTTTGTCTGAGAGAGAAAAAAAAGAATTGGATTAGAAGAGAGAATATAGTTATGAAAAAGATGAAACTTTATTTAATTACTTTAAGGTGTGCTTGATGGGATACAACCACGTATTTCTTAGTAGTTGTGAAGAGAAGGAGTAATCCTCTCATCTCAGGAAAGTCATCCTCTCATCTTAGAGAATCCCTCTTAAAGATTATTAAAGAACTTTCAGACAGCCTAAATAGGAAAATTACTATGTAAAATTATATCATGATCGTATAATAATTTTTGGAGATATTAAATGAGACTCACTTCTTAAATTGTCACTAAAAATAGTGACAAAAAAACATGTCAGCATTTTTGAAGATGATTGGAGTTAGTCAAACCAGATGCAAACTGTCATGATAGATTCAGAGTCTCCCAGACTCATTTGGAACTGTTTGGAACTTCTAACCTTGACAGACCTCATCTCAGTCAAGTCTGCACATTCCATCAAATAGACAAAGGTTTCAGTGTCTAATGCCGCTGATTCAGGTTGGGATCTGTGTGTCCAGAGGTTCTCTCAATAAAGCCAAATGGTATAATAGCATGCACAGAGCCACCAGAAATAGTCAGGACTAAGGATTTGCTGTTGTGTTGCTGTTGCTACTTGTTTTGGATAGTTTAATATCTAATACCCAACCTTCATGATTTAAATAGTTTCCTCTGAAGTATAAATTCATGGGAAAGAAATAAATAACATGGGAGATCAATGTTCGTTTAGCACCAAATGTGATCTAATTGTGGTTATATAAACCATAATCTTTCACAGGAAAATTAAAGGGATCAGAAAAGAAAAAAGTTAGAGTTGAGAATAGTACAATATTTCCAGCTGTGGTTTCCATGCTTTGGGGAACACCTGTTTTGTGATTAATTGCTAATTGCTTCACAATTAGGCTCGTCTGTTTAGCAGCCACGGAGTTAGATATATGAAATATGTAGAAATTTAAGTGAATGTATAATCCTGAATGTTCTGGTCTAGTTAATTGTTTTTTGAAAATTTTGAATTCCTTTCTTATCTCTTTCTGGCTTTGCCAACTCGCATTACTATCGGAATAGGGCTAGGTTTTCAAGAAATGAGAGTCTCATTGAAATAATTGACTTGTATTCTTAGTAGTTTCTTTATAGTTCATTGTTACTATTGCATTGGCATTCTTGTTCTGGGTGTTGACAGGCTTTTTTGCTAGGATGGAGATGGAGGCGGATTATATCGGACTGTTGCTGCTTGCTTCAGCTGGATACGATCCCCGTGTGGCCCCAAGGGTGTATGAGAAACTGGGGCAGATCACCGGAGACTCAGCATTGAGAGATTATCTCTCCACTCATCCATCCAGCAAGAAAAGGGCAAAGTTGCTGACACAAGCTCAAGTGATGGATGAAGCACTTGAAATATACAGAGATTCCATGGCTGGTCGTGGCATCGAAGGCTTCCTGTAGCACTTCTCTCTTCTCCCCTATGGACTCCATACACAATAAACCATCCGGTCCAACTCTTTTTGTTTTTGATAAAAACACAGTTCAAATCCGCCAGTGGTCACAGGTTCTCGGAGTCGGCAGTATAACTCGCGCCAAGAAGACCAGTGACCAAGAAATGTAGTCTGCATTAATAGGGATAATAGGTGCAGCAGAAGGGAGTGAAGAAATCAGAACAAGAGGATTTCAATTTTTTGGGGCAAGATAGGAAACTGCAGGTATTCTCCTGTTACTAAACAAACCCTACTGAATCTGCAAAAAATCTTTGTTGCATGTCGTCCGGGGCTACACTTTGGGAGGCATATGATCTCCGTGTGCTTGTTCTGGGTTGTGTACTGAGTTGACTCTCACAACCCGGCTTAAATGCTTTGATGTTAACATTGTGATATATTGTGTTTTCATTTGCATGTGATGGAAAATTCTTTTCAATTTGGCTTTGCTTCTCAAAACAATAGCACTAAAACCTGTGCTTATTTTATTATTCTGCTGCACTGCAACACTGTAATCGAGTGTACGGGGTGAATAAAGCTTACTCTCATCCACATTTCACATCAAAAATGCTGGATTAATATAATAATATCTACTTCGATACAGTCGAAGTCAGACTTCTATGGTTGCAAGCATGCTTTGGAAGCTGTTTACAAATGCTCTTCTTCGATGATTGGGTTAGCAGAAGTGTTATTTGCACATCGAGCTCGAATAGTCCTGTGGACTTGCCATGAACTTGCAGTGGTAGAATTCATGCATCCAACTTCATCGTCAAAATACTGTGCTTGATCCCTGTCAAACTATTGAGAATGCAGTAAAAACAAAATGCAGGGTGAAACAATAAGTTTAAGAATGGTCACCTGCCCACTAATCGATCTTAATGAGTCGACCTAAACGACGACCGCAACAGACTACAAACTCCAAGTCACACTTCGACGACTGAGAAGACCATGAAAAGGCAGACTCTGCGGTGCTTGCACTGGTTATGGCTTCCAGATGATGGTCGTCGCGGCAATCATGTTTGAAGCTGGCCTCCTGTCCTCTAAATAACCTGAACATATATCCAAACAGATGTATTAAACACTATAGCAAAATATGAGACGAGAAAAGAGAAGGAATACGAACTTTGTCATTCTTCTGGATTTCACGACCCACCCGCTCTCCAGAACCATCAACATCGGCTTTGCCTTGCTCTTCCCCCTCGTTCTCACTTTGTTGTCATCGCCAACCAAAGCCCTCACAGTCACCTCCGCCTCGTTCTATCTCCTTGATGTCCCCCGCCACTTTGCCTCATCACTCTTTACCAGGTTCAATAGCGTAATCGGAATGTTTTCCCTCGTGCTCCTGCTCCCCCCAGCCACTGGATCCACTAGGACGCTAACATTGTCCACCCTCTGGAATGCCTCCATACTCTCTTCGTATCCTACCACCTGGGTAATCATTCTAGTTCTTCGTCACCAGCGCAAAGAGGGGAAACACGATGCTCAACTTGATAAGGGTGGTGCAGTTGAACAGGTAGAGGGTTAGGCCAAAGAGAACATTGAGCACATCCTTGATGGACCTAGTCGGTACATTGAGAGTAGGAGATCCATGAGAGAGGCGATGAGAGACTTCTTTGACCTGATGATGGAGTGGTATGATTTAATAGAGAAGGGGCTATAAAGGGTTGCAATGGAGTACTGGGTGGCGGTAGAGGAGAGGAGGCGGAGGGCAACGGTGAAGGTGTTAGATGCTCGAGGTGCACATGAGGAGGGCAACAGTAGCATTCTCTTGGGCCTCGGCATGAACGAGTGGTGATAGTAGTGATTAAGGAGATGAGTGGCATGGAGGGGCACAACGCCGACGATGGGGGAATGCATCTTCGAGTCTTGTTTCGACAGGTGGTGGATCTCCACGATGGCTTCAACAACAGATTTCGATCCCACGATGATAGTGCGTTGACACAGATGCAAAGTAGTGAAATGGTCGCTTGGTAATTGCATTAGTGCCAATGCTAACGACGTCGTCGTTCATCACCGTAAATTGTAATGTTAAAATTATTACCTTTTACCTTTTATTTTTCATGTTTTTACTAATGAAATTGACATATAAATAAATCGAGATGTTTCACTTTCATAATTATAAGGATTTCAATATAAATTTTTAAAATTTAAAATACTAAAAATAATTAAATACGAGAGATAATCTATAAAATGATAATATATAATAAGCCCGACAAAAATAATACACAGACACCCATATAAGTAGGTGTTAATGTCGTCCCATAAGCTGGCGCTCGTTCCCTTCTTCACATGCAACAATGTGCTCTTCGTGCCTCTTTTCAAAGGTGACTTTTGATCGAGGAAACAATTGCATGTAAAAGCACGATTAGTGATGGGAAGATGAGTTCGAAAAGATGGTTCCAATCAACAACTAAATTACGAACATCAATCCAACATAATGGCCACTTAGAATATTTCACTTGTACTCCGAAATAACAAGTCGAGTAAATAATTTACTCATATTATAAATTTTTTTTTTCTGATTAAACCCTTCATAAAAGCACCCAATCACTATAATCAAGACCAACTATCTTTTAAATATAAATTTTGCTTGTACTAACTTTAGTATGGGAGGAATCAAAACTCAAGCAACATCAATCTTCATACAAATCAAATATAAAATAAACTTATGAACTTCCCTCGATTATGGAATGGATGTTCTAACATTCTCTATAGTCGTATCAAATCTTTTACTTACATCAATCTAAATAAAGTTGGGTTAATCGAGATATGATCGACATCCTTCTCATCATTTTGATACTAAAACAAGAGCCCACAAGGTCTCATTTCTCAATTAGAGACACCAACAGATATATTTAATTTTATAGAAGAAGCAATTCATTATGAGTACCAATTTCACCATCTACCCTAAGTGGTGTCTTTTGAGCTCATATAGGAAAGAATGAAACAAAAAAAAAGGTTATCCATCATAATAATAATAAATAATTAGTGTCGAAAGAGAAACTATTCTTACAATGTCAATGATTTTCTTTTTAGAAAAATATAAATTTTTACAACTTAGGAAAAACAAAAAGGGTTTTAAATTATTGTTTTAAATAAAAAAAACTTAGGAAAAACAATAAGTAAAACATTATGGTTTTAAATTCATCTCTTTAAAATTAAAAACAATTATATTATATATTTTTAGTACTGCATTCACAACATCAAAGCGCATCTGGTGTAGTGGTATCATAGTACCCTCCCACGGTACTGACCGGGGTTCGATTCCCCGGATGCGCATCATTTTTGTCCCTTTATGTTCTCAATTTCTCCTGCTTCAGCATTTTCCAGAACATCTACAAAGAGTGACCATCGATCCAAACAGCCAAGCGTTGACACATTCTGCATCGTGTAAGTATTGTTTGTATTCACTACGAATCATCTATCTGTACATTGAATCCCTCACACTGATCATCGACTCCATCAGAAGGGCCTTTTTAGCCCCCTGAAGTCCACTGCTTCCGTGCATTCCATGCTCCCCCTGCATCCATTCAAAAGCTTCAGCAGATCATTAGCCTTCTCCTTGGTTGCTCCACTGCAGCCGACCTGCACCAGCAGCAGCGACTTCTGGAACGCCCCCACTCGAACCGCCTCCATCGAGCACCCTCCTCCCCTCTTCTCGTTCCTGCACAGCTTCCAAAGAGCCGAGACAGCGAACTCCGTCGCCATGTCTGAGACGCGAAGCATCTTCTTCACCAGCACAGGCACTGTTAAGGCGTGTCCATAGGCCATCTCTCTTCCTCTGCTGCACCCGAGAACGCCGTCCAAGACCGCCAGTGCCTTCTCGCACATGCCTTTGTCGGAGTCGACGAGGATCTCCAGAAGCGAGGGGATTATTCCCGTGTCCACAAGTGCCCCCGCGGCCCTGTCGCTGGAGTCGACCAAGTAGAATGCGGCCACCAGCGATGCCTTGGTGGCTCGAGGTGATATGGGGTTTTGGATTAGCTTCGACAGTGCTTCGACCAGTCCGTCTGTCCCTGCGACGCCATTGATTCGCCGTGGAGGCAGAGAAGAAAGGAGCTCTCTTAGGACCAGGGCTGCGTTAACCCTCGCGTCCAAATCCCCAGACCTCAGAACCGAGACGATGGATTCAAGAGACTTGAGGGACGAGAGTTGCCGACATGAGTCTTGATCCAGAGGGAAGAACAGAGGCAACGCCGATAGGATCTCCTCCGCGGCACCTGCTCTGGACCTCTCGAATGATTCTGTGGCCAATTCGCTGAAGCAGGAGGCGAGCACACAGCCGGCACCGGCAGAGCCGATGCACCTTCGGTTGCGCTCGCTCTCCTTTCCTAACGCTTTGATCTTCCCGACCAGCTCTTGGCACCGAGCACGGTCACCGCGACGGCCAGCGAAGGCGATCTCCGATAGCAGCTCCGACGCCTGGATCGATGTCACGGGGATTCTCGGCGTCGGTATCCTCTCGACGCCGAAGGACCTGTTGGCGACGCACCAGTCCTGGATCAGTCTCCGAATGGTGTGGTTCGGCAGGAGCTCGTCGTTCCCCAGGGCTTGGTTGGTCACCGGACAGGTCAGGCTCCCGACCTCCAGCCATGACTCGATGCTCTGACGGTCGTAGGTGATCCCGGTGTGCAGCGTGACGGGGTCCTTCATGAGCTCGAGAGATATCGGGCATCGGAAGGCAGCGGGCACCGGCAACTCCGCCGTCGGGTCGGCCGTGGGGATTCTCTTGACGAAGGAGAACCTCGAGCTGGGCTTCTGTGTCCTGCGAGCGGATGCCATGACGGAGGCAGTCGTAAGGAGCTAAAGGAAGATGGAATCGAGAAAATTTTTCTTCACAGCCTGATGTTAAGATCAGAGTTCAGCGAAGAAATATATATAGGAAGGGGTGACGCGCCACGGCGTCGGCGTGCGGCTTTGACCATTGACCGTTGAAGTTAGAACGTGGTAGACCCGCGTAAGCTGATTATTCCAGTCAAAGTCAAACGAAGTAAGTTGACTGGGATTAGTTAGTCCGTTCGATCTGAGCCCGACCGAGTTAAGATGATTCATCGGGTTCACGGATCGAGTCTAATCCAAGAGATCTTGACTCGTCGATGGGGTCACATCAAGTTCTGGCAGCAGTCAGATCTTTTCTTAATGGCATTCCATCAACAGGTGTCGTCAATCAGTCGGTTCAAACCCTGGTAAAGGCATGATTGCGTCCATACCACTAATTTAGAATAACATTTAAATGATTAAAATTAAAATCATTCTTTTACTTCTGAAATCCGATTAATTTGACGCATAATTTTGGATTGCTGAATGAACCGGTCGGGCCGAGAAGGATCTAAGGCGTCGAGCCGAACCGGTTCAGTAACCGAGTGACCGCGTCGTGGGCGGAAGACCCGGGCGTTAACGTGCTAATCTTGGCGGCGAGCGAAGCGGGCTTCCCGCCGGCCCACCTCGCGCCAGCTCTCCTCTTTCCCTCTTTGGACGCCGAACGCCGTTCCTTAAAACAAGAAAGATGAAGAGATCCGCCACAGGGGGAGAAACAAGTCAGGGATCGGTCCTTGTTGCTCTGCCTGTCCATTTCTTGGGTGGTAAGCATCAAAAACTTGATCTTCGTATTGTTGTGATGGTTTCACTGTAGCAATACATATTTGATAGAAGTTTGCAGTAATAATCATGATCTTCTTTTGGCTATGTGCTGTGAGAGGGTCAAGGTATCTCTTCTTGCTTATTCACTGTATCAGCTCCGTGGAATGTTGCATTTGTGCTCTCTTCTTCTACATTGTTCTCTGGTTTTTCGTTTTCTTGTGGCGCAGATCTTCATGCAACTCCAGATCTGCTTCTTTTATGGAATAATTCGTTCCTATATTCATAAGCTTGGATCGCAAGATCAATTTGGATATAGATGCGAAAAGCGTGTGGTTAATTAATCCATCTTTTTCACCTAAACAAACAAATACAGAGAGAGATCTTGACATTTATGCTCATCAGTTGTTGAAAGCCTTGTTATGTCAGTCATAAACATAATTCCATTCATCTACAGAATCTGCATTGCCAATTTGCGTGATTTGGTTATGTAGCAATCGATGACAAGACCTGAGCCTGAAATCACAATCTCACATTAATCACCAAGATCTCCCATGGAGGTTCAATGGGGATGGATAGCAAGTCATATAGTATCTAAAGCCAAATGTCATATCCAATTTGACACTGTTTTGGGGTGCCAATTACTGGTTATGTACATTGCAAATGAAACTCTGTTCTTCTTGTTCCTTTTTATTCGATAAATGGCTCTGCATCTAAGCTTGCATCTCTCTTTCCTGTCAGCTATAAAAGATGGCAGATGGCGAAGATATCCAACCTCTCGTGTGCGACAATGGAACTGGAATGGTCAAGGTACGACTCGAACATTAGATTCATGTCGATTCTGTGTGAATCACTCTGTGGCATATGCTTCCTTAAAGCTCAGCCTCACCCTCTATGGTGATGAAACGTACTTCTCTAATGGTCATGGCCATCTAATTAGGCTGGATTTGCCGGAGATGATGCCCCACGGGCTGTCTTTCCTAGCATCGTGGGTCGACCGCGTCATACCGGTGTGATGGTGGGCATGGGCCAGAAAGATGCATACGTCGGGGACGAGGCTCAATCCAAACGAGGTATCCTAACGCTGAAGTATCCAATCGAACATGGCATTGTGAGCAACTGGGATGACATGGAGAAAATTTGGCACCACACTTTCTATAATGAGCTTCGAGTGGCACCAGAGGAACACCCTGTGCTCCTCACCGAAGCACCTCTCAATCCCAAGGCTAATCGTGAGAAGATGACCCAGATCATGTTTGAGACCTTCAATGCTCCGGCCATGTACGTCGCCATCCAGGCTGTTCTCTCTCTTTATGCTAGTGGTCGAACCACAGGTAATCTGGCTTTCATGCTAATGTTCATTCACTTGTCCTTCGTTCGTCGAAGCAGTAGCTTGTGCGCAATGAGTGCTTATCTTCACTACCTGGATTTGCTGATCTGTTCATGTAGATTCTACCTTGACGTTGATGATGTGCAGGCATTGTGCTCGACTCCGGTGACGGTGTCAGTCACACGGTTCCTATATATGAGGGGTATGCGCTCCCGCATGCCATTCTTCGTCTGGACTTGGCAGGCCGCGACCTCACCGACGCTCTGATGAAGATCTTGACAGAGCGCGGTTACTCCTTCACCACCACGGCGGAGCGTGAAATCGTCCGAGACATCAAGGAGAAACTTGCGTACATTGCTCTCGACTACGAGCAGGAGCTGGAGATGGCGAAGACCAGCTCGTCGGTGGAGAAGAACTACGAGTTGCCCGACGGACAGGTGATCACCATCGGCGCAGAGCGGTTCCGCTGCCCTGAGGTCCTCTTCCAGCCCTCCATGATCGGGATGGAAGCTGCGGGCATACACGAGACCACCTACAACTCGATCATGAAGTGCGATGTGGACATCAGGAAGGATCTGTACGGCAACATCGTCCTGAGCGGAGGATCCACCATGTTCCCGGGCATCGCGGATAGGATGAGCAAGGAGATCACTGCGTTGGCTCCAAGCAGCATGAAGATCAAGGTGGTGGCTCCCCCGGAAAGGAAGTACAGCGTGTGGATCGGGGGATCGATCTTGGCATCCCTGAGCACCTTCCAACAGGTACGTAGAGTGCTCTCCTTGTTGCAATCCAAGCATGCACTGCAATCTCTTCCCATCGTCTCCGGATTCCTGTTCCCGACGAGCTACTTGTGTTTGCAGATGTGGATCGCAAAGGCGGAGTACGATGAGTCCGGTCCTTCGATCGTGCACAGGAAATGCTTCTAAGTCTTCTCACTTTGAGTTTGAACGTGTGGGGAGAGAGAGAGAGAGAGAGAGAGAGAGAGATTGAAGCTGTGCTTTCTTTCTCCCACCAAACAATTATTCAAACATTTAGTCCTACAACTGATGGATGATCAATAATTCTGACTCAGACATGGCTTTGATGAGCATTTCACCTTGTAATTTTTGCTCAATAAGTGTCATTTGTTTGAAATGATTCGAGTGTTGTATGCCAATTCCATCTCATGCTTAAAAATGTGTTCCACCTTTGTCCTGATCCAGAAAGAGTGAAAGCCTTTATCAAACCCTTGCCCTCTAAAAGAAGTCTAATGAGACAAGGAAAAGATGGAGCAAAACAAAGCAGCAGGGTGGGCTAGACATAGCCACGACTCTGAGAGATCTCACAAGCAATGCCTGACCTCCTCCGCTGCTGCATCAAGTCGAAGGTACGCACTGACAGGCTCAAACTCACTTAAAGTGAGAAGAAAAGGTTAAAAAGAAGAGAAAGATGAGACGGGGACGAAAGAGAACAGCTCTTTTAAAGCGAGAGAGAGAGAGAGAGAGAGAGAGGTATAAATACTGGGGAGGGGGGTGGTGATGCACATCGGCCGAGGAAAAGGCAGGGGGGGCTCTGTTCCTTTAGGGTTTGCTTGTTCTTGTTTGAGCAGCACAATAAGTTCCAAAGGAAAAGGTGCCTTTCCCTGTAGCCTTTGCTCGTTCTTGTTCCATCAGCATAATAAGTTCCTTGGCTTCATGTCCTCCTGGTGCTGTTCAAATGCTCGACGAAAAGATGCTTTGATTCCTCTCTCTCTCTCTCTATCTACACTACACTCAGCTTCTTTTTCAGAGATCTGAACACAAACTCATGAAAGAGAAAGAGAGAAAGGAGCGTATGGCACTGAATACCATGCCATTTGAAGTTTACTCCATGAATGATGTCTGTGCTTGCTTTCGTGTTTGTTTGTGAGGGAGAAGTTGTCTACTTGAATGCAGTAGGGACCGACCGTGACGAGAAGTACTACGTCAACCGATGCTCTGACCCGTCACACCCTCTCTCTCTCTCTCTCTCCAATCTATCTATCGACTGCTATTGCTGCAACTTCAACTTTGTAATTGGCTCTCATCTTTCGTCTCCAGTGGATTTGAATCACTAATCAGTCTTCCGTTTTAATTGCTCCTGCGACCCCTCTGCCACTATTCATCCCAAAGAGCTGTAGCTCGCAAGGAATTCCACCGAGAAAGCAAGACTTTGCATGACTGAATGCAAACTAACCTCCGTCTCAACTCACAAATTTTAGGAAAAAGGCAGAGATCACGAAAAATAGAATGATCAACATCGTTATCCAATAGAAATAGAAAGCACAATTGCATGTCACGATACCACCGTCGACGTGCACATTGAAAGCTCAAGGTAAATTACATGCATCACCCACTATAGGAAAAGAAGGGAACGTAACTTTGGAGTCTTAACTAGTACTGGGAAGCTGTGACCTGGAGATCTTTCGTGGATCGCCATGGTCATCGTTGTCCTCTTCCCCCTCCGTCATCACCGACATGTAGCTCACGACCAAGGAGTTCACCTCTGAGGCCATCGCGGACTTTGCCTGGAACTGCTGCTTGCAGGCGTAACAGGTGATTTGTAGCAGCGTCGAGTTGATCTGCTTCACCGCCTGCTCCCTCACGGCGTGAACTCGATCCAGCTCCTGCTGGGCTCGTTGCCGCATTCCCTTGGCCTTCTCGTACTCGTGCTCGGCTAATTCGAGCTGTCGCCGAGCTTGCTGCCTCGCCTCTTCTGCCAGTGCTTTCTCGGCCACGGCGAGCTTTAGCTGCTGCTCCGTTTCGTCTTTGAGACGAGCGGCGGCCGACTGCGAGTCCTCGGAAAGCGCGGGATCAGCAGCGGGACCGATCGACAGCTGCAATTTGGTGGCTTTGGCTTCCTCGATGGCGGTAGACAGTAATGCGGAGGAGGAGAGTGGGGTATGCCGTCTGCTGGGTGGAGGCAGGAGCTGGAGCTCGATGCTCTGAGTGCAGAATTGATCGGGACGCGACGAGGGCGGTTGATCAGGCCGGGTAACGAAGACCGCGGCCGCCGGAGTTTGCATTCTCAGACCAGGCCACACTCTGGGGCTGAAGTTGGTGTCGCTCGATCGGCTCGTGGTTGAGGTCGTCCTCGACAGGCATGCCGGTGGCTGGGTAGTTAACTGGAGCTGCGCCCGGGCTTGGCCGGCCGTGCACGTGTCTTGGTGCTCGATGAAGCTCTCCACCCTGTCACCATCAAAGTACAGAAAGAAAACGAAGCTGCTAAGATTTAGATCGAGTTATATACTACAACAAATGGAGCCATATGTTGTAGTAATGAAGCTGCTATTAGCACGCCATCTTCCTTTTGTGCGTTCAGGGAAGAGCACGAGACAAATAGTAATCTGTATGAACTCTGTGGGCACCTGGAGAAGACACGGCCGCAGTCGCAGGAGTGGCCGCGGGTGCCGCAGGTCTTGAGGTGGGCCTTGTAGTCGGACTGCACCGCATAGGCCTTGGAGCACCTGGCGCAGACCCACTGCCGGTGGCTGCTGTGCTTGCGTCGGAAGTGCTTCTTGATGCCGACCAGGTCGCCGAGGGCGTGGGCGGGGTCGTGGTGAAGGCAGGTCGGCTCCGGGCACACGAACACCCGCTTCCGCACCTGATCCGCCGCCTCCCGCTTCAGCAGCTTCCACGGCACCTTGTGCCGCCGCCGGTGCATCTGCAAATTCTGGTCCCTCTGAAACCCCTGGTTGCAGATCTCGCACACGTACCGGTCCGACTCCAGCAACGTCCTCGGCGACAGCGCCACCACCTCCGCATCCGGATCTGATGGCCATGGCCCAACCGGTAGCTGGTGAAACAAAGGAACACCCACAGCAACATGTCAATTGAGTTGCACGAGCCCTTCTTACCTGGAGTGCCCGCCGGCCTTCGCTTTTTCTTGCTGTTCGTGGCACTGTGCTGCGGAAAGGTCGACGAGATGGTGGTGCCACCGAGATGTGTCGACGGAGCTGGTGATGGAGGGCCTAACATTGCATACCCTCTCTATATATTTCTATCTCAGTCAGGGACTCGAATCCTATATATGATCTCCTCTCTTGATTCTGCGACTGAGATCTCACTGTCGTAGCTCTTGTCATACATAAAGAGAGCACATCTTAGGAAGAAGACAAGTTCTACATCAACATCTTCTCTTCAGTGCATCCATAACTCACTGAGATGACATAGAAAGGCAGCTATCAGCATTCTGAGGTTGGCAGCTTAGTCACCGGGGTTGGAACTGGTCTTGCAATGGTGTAAGGATTCAGATAAATAATTCTTTTCAGAGAGAGAGAGAGAGAGAGAGAGAGAGAGAGAGAGAGAGAGAGGTTGAAATTTGAGCCAAGCATGATGAGGCCATCGGGACAAAGAAAAAACATCCCCACAAAGAAACAAAGGAGCTCATAATTGCATCATTACATCCATCAGCATAAATTTGCATGCATTAATGCAGGAGGCCTGTCTCCAAATAGACGTGAAATCTCCTTTTCTCTCTCTACCATTTTGCACAGGCAGCTACAGACGACTACTGCAATACGTACTTGTTTGTATGCCAAGGAGTAGTCTGGCCATGTCAATACGTACTTGTTTTCAGCTTCTATTTACATAATAATTCCAAAATCCTCTGCTAGAAGATCTATCAAAGTAAGATCTACATTGTTAATCCTCATTGATACTCCAATCAATACTACTGCAACTTAAATTGATGAGCCATCAAAGCTCAAAATCTATAGACAGAGATTTCCCCCATCCTGTCTGTTTTTTAGTGGGGAAGGAGTCATATTTGAAGAATGATCGAGCACTTTTAATTGAATTCACCTCTGCCAAGGAAATAAATGAGCTCACAAAATTAAAGCAGTCAGCAAAGCTGGGAATAAAAGAGTACATAGGAGTACAACTTGGCAGATTTGTTGGCTTCTTGTTCTTGGATTGGGAAGTCAAATAAAAGTCAAGTTTCCTTTGGCAGGAAGAAGAAATTAATATTGCCTTCTAACTTTGTTCTACCTCTCTTCTATGTCTACTACTATTATCCAAATTTCTATACTAAATTACACCTTCAAGTTTTTAAAATGACACTACAACTGAAGTTTATTTTTATCCACCCAAAATATTTTTTTTTGTTGTTTGCATCAAAAAATGCTGCATTTGGCATAAAATGAGCTGTATGTCACTTAATAGCATTTTTCAGGTAACAAAAGAAGATTATTCTTTTTCTGTAACAATTTGCAGCAGCATTTCAAAAGAAGATGCATCAGTTTCTAGTTTCCTATTGCTAAAATCAATGAGCAGCACATCTGATAATTTTTTTATGTTTAATGAAGTTCCTTAATAATTAACATAAATATGCCAAATGGGCTTTTACATACCACAGCTTTTTACATTTGATTCAGCACAAAATACAATGACATATTTATAGATATGTGCATCAAAGTAATGTTTGATTTCTGCAAAAGGCATTAATGTAGAGCTTTTGTTCCCTGGAAATAATAGACCCTTGTTATTGTGTTATAATAACAAGGATTGAGAGAGAGAGAGAGAGAGAGAGAGAGTGTGTGTGTGTGTGTGTGGGAAATGTGCCATGTTTGTTGGCTGCTGGGTGCGAAAAAGAAGGGTGAGAGGACCGACAGCAGCTCATGGTGGTATGCTTCCACTGCATGCCACTCTCGCTGCGCTGCATTAGCTTAAGCTCGAAGTAGGCAGCTTTTTGGGGGCATTAAAATGGCCATGCAGTGTGCATAATGATAGTTATGACTGCCATAGAGAGAAAAGCTCATTGGAGGAACTCGGCGGTGACTTTGATGAGCTCCAAGCTTTATATACCCCCATGTGTAAGTCTGATTCATCTGCCCTACCAGTCTCCACAAGCTCTTGCCAAAGCACTCTGCCGCCTTCCCCTTTGTTCTGCAGGTCTTGTTCTTGAGATACTGATAAGAATATTGTCTCGTAGAATAATACATGTCTGCGTGCAGGCACATGAATGCCATGCCATTCATTTATAAGGGGTGGGTATACCGCTCCCAAAGGGAAGCCCATGAGACCAAGCAGGAAAGAGGTGTGTCTTCTTTAACAAAAGAATGGGATCAAAGGAGAAGCTCGGCATGCATCAATTGGCTTTGATTTAGTAGTCCACCAAAAGTGAACCTTTTCTGCGAGTATGCATCGGCTTTGTGACTCGGGAGGATGATGGAGGAGGATCTCACCACATGCATCTGTCCCTCGGCAATCATCAATCCCAAGCGTTGGCCGATCCTGAATCTAATCATTTCTGCTTCAACCAAGCATGTTCCAGGATCTCACTTTCCATGCCCTCTCTCGTGCCACACTCAACCCCTTTCCTTCTTCGCCTCTTCCTTTTGCATCACTTTGCTCCTATATGACTCGGACCAATCTGAATCTTTACCTATTTTATTGCGCATCATGCAATTTGTAGTCCCGACAGCACGTTAGCTGGTTCTCTTTTGGCATCACAGTCGAACATGGATGGTGGATAAAGAGAAAGGCTAGCTGAGAACAGACAGACAAGCATGATCTTTGTTTGCTGAGCTCAGAGAGAGTTTGCCGTCAGCTTTGGTCTCTGCCCTACGTACGTACATGCCTGTTGCACTGAGATCACTGATCGCAGCCATGGGATGACATGACGACTTCTTCTGCCAGATTTGGCACAAGTCACGTCCTCCTCGGAAGGCATGAATGGCCCCCCCCTGAGATCTTTCGGTGCAATTCTACTGTTACTCGGAGTTCTTTCGTTTCAATTCTACTGTTACTCGAAGTTTGTGGTGAAGAAGAATATTAGATTTATAGAAATAATATGTTAGGTTTGACTTTTGAAAGAAAAAAAAAAAGCCATACAATCATATAATTATTTTTATTCAGTCCAAAATTATAATAATCTTCTCCTTATTTTTTTTCCTTCATAGTGTCACTAATCTAATCTTAAACTATCCCTAATATTTCTTAAATTATCAACAAATTAATATCAATATTTTTCCCCTTAATATGTTATTCAATGACACTTGTAATTTTCTCTAAAATACTTAAACTTATCTTTTGGTAGTGTTTTGATAAATATATCTGTTATTTGATTATTGGATTTGCAATACTTATTTGAATTTCACCATCTCCAATTGCTTCTTTGATAAAGTAATGCTTGAGTGCAATGTGTTTGGTGTGACTGGTAAATTGAGTTCTTGGCCATTGCTATTGCTGATTTATTGTCAAAAAAAATCTCTCTTCTTTCAATTTGCCTTTCACCAAGATGTTCAAGAATTCTTCTCAGCCAAATTGATTGAGAAGTAGCTATATATGCTAAAACATATTCAACTTTTATAGAGGGTTGTGTCACTGATTGCTGCTTCTTTGAACTCCAAGAAAATACATCTGCACCAAAAGAAAAAACATAACTAGAAATACTATTGCATACACCCCAATTACTATCACAAAATCCAATCAGTTTCAGGTTTTCTAGCTTATCAAATTTGATTCCAAATCCTTTAGTGTTTTGTGAATATCAAAATATTTTTTTTTATAATTCCAAAATAAATGTGACTAGGACTATTCATGAATCTAGAAAGCATACTTGTACTAAACATCATATCTAGCCCAGTTGCTATGAGGTATAGTAAATTACCAATTAAACTTCTATAAAGAATAGTTTCGATCTACTTTCTTCCATCTTTTTTCTTTAGTTTTTCACCGATTAGAAATGGTGTTCCAATGAGATGACATTCAGACATATTAAACTTCTTTAGAATTTTGTCCATGTAATTCTGTTGAGAAATAAACATATTATTTTCCTCTTTATATATATCAATGCCAATAAAACATCTTAAGATTCCCATATCACTCATTTCATATCTATGCACCATATCAATTTTGAATTGTTTGTTGTAAAGTGTAACAATAATTATACCTAAACCTTTTCTTGTTTTGGTGTATAAAATATGTTCACTCCTGCTTCTCATGAAGCCTTAGACTTCTTGTAGATATATCATATAATAATAAAAACTAATAAGTCTTATTTTTTTTTTAATCTTCTCAAATTTATCAGTTGTGATTGTTGTATAAAATCATTACCAATGACATTAATAACATATGAGAGTTTATTAATGCTATTTTATTATTCACCCTCATCAATTCTTTCAATGATTTGAGGAATAATGATTTATCAAAAATGATAAAATGATAAAGAGTATTAACCTATATTTTCTTAATATTAAGGCTAAATTTTAAGATTTTCACTCTTAATGAAGTCCTTCATGCTCCTATAGGATTATCTAAATTTTATAATTATGTGTCATTATGAATATTATTTTTCTTAATATTATTTAGGAATATTTTTTTATATAATTTTATAAAATTTTTTAACTATACCACTTTGATTATTATAAGATCATTACAATAATATAAAATATAATTTAAAAGATCTTATAAATGATAAAATATTTATTGTAATTTATATCCTATAAGCATATTATCATGACTATTTTGGAAACTACTAGTTAGATAAAATTTAAGGATTTAAGTTATAAATAATATTTACTTATTTTTTAATCTAATTTATATCAAAATAGTTCAATAATAATAAAATAATGATTGTAATAATTATTTAACATTAATCGGTCTAAAGAAACTCACATGATGAAATATAAATCATGCCTTTACGTAAAAAATAAATATTATTTTATAATTTCAAATATACGGATGTAAAATTATATTTTATTTATCACATGTAAAATTTTATCAATGTCATATGAGAAAACTATAAAAGAAAATTATAATTTTTTTTAATTCCATATGAAACCCTTAGACCAATTAATATTATTTAATTAGGAAGGCCCATAATTGGATTACCCAAGTTGGGTTCATACATTTGTGCCAACCAATTGTCCAATTAGGCTCGTCAAAATTAGTATTCATTAAAATTAAAATTTGATTTTCCTCAAATTTGATTGATTGATTGAATCTAAATCTAGCCAAATAGTCATTATATGATTATTATCATGTTCGATTAAAATATTTGATTAAAATAACTTTAATTAATTAATTTTATAATTGAGGATATAGTAAATAATAATAATTTTTGAAGGGTAAAATTATAATTTTTCATGGGATATATAATAAAAAAATATTTGATTTATAAATGGCATAACTAGTAAAGTTGAATTTAAGGACATATTAGAATTATCTAATTCTTGAGAGATAAAAATATTCTTTTAATTAAAAAGAAAATAAACTCTAAAACCATTTTTAATCGTTGGCACACCCATGTATGTGGTTGTTGCTATTCATCGGCCTATCTATCGTCTATGGCCATCGTTGTGCCATCCATAACTTGCGACAAGGCAATCTGCCTCTTCCTTTACTAACGATGCATCATTACTGTCCACGACGCTAGTGACAAAATCACCAACTATTAGGAATCATGACTTATGATATCTAATTAATATTAGTCGTGACCAACAAATGCTGTAGCGGTGTTGTTGCAACCACTACAAGCAACAGCATTGCTGTAGTCGCCACAAGGCTTCTATATGATTGGGCTATGGACTATCACACCCTACGGTGCTTTTACTTCATATGCAGTTGTTACTCATGATTGGGCTGGCGACCACTAGACGCCCTCAATAATACTATCATTGATAGTACACTAATAATAGTGATCAGTCGATCAAACATGAGGAACTTTACATTACCAACAAGTAGATGATAGGATAGATTAAATAGAAAAGTATATCGACAATACAGATGGATCATTTGAGTATCATAAATCAAAATCAAGTAATACTTTTTTCATAAGGGTGCTAATAAATAGATCTAAATACTTTTATGATATATAGTATTTGATTTCAAAATATAACTCTGATATCAATTGTATGTGAAAAAATCATAATATACTGCTATTATATGAAAAACTTTAATATTAGAAATTAAAATCAAATAATAATAACTCAAATTTACAATACATACTTTTTCGATACTACTCAAAAAGCCTTTATCTGATCTACAAGCACATCATCGACGAATTAGAAAGCTACAGTGATGCTCATCTATGTAGATAACAAGACTTGTCATCTACTTTTTCTATATTTTTCACATGATCATTATGAGCGATAAACTAGGGGTAAAAGAGAGACAAGAGAAGACGTATAATCTCTTAATAACTGATTGATTGTCCTTAGGAAGTCTTGTCTCTCTAAAAGCGAGAGTAGAGGGTATAGGATGGAAATTAGGAAAGTAACTTTTATCAAAGTTATCTTCTAAGGAATTTTATCATAATTAGACTTTCTTTCTATTGGTCAATATCCATAACTAGAATCCAATCAAATTTATAATATATCTTACTTAATTAAATAAGACCGTATAATTTTATAAAATTATCATATCAATATGATAAAATACTAAACTTTGTTTTCCATACCAACAAGGTCTACGACAATTGAAATCAAAAGTAACATAGATTAGATATTGCATATGTTTTGATAGATACCATTATAGATAGAATATCTTAGACACCGGTATCATATCATAATGAAAAAGCTAGAAGCTAGACTCCTCTTTATTATGATCTATAGAGTAAATATCCATTTAGGAGGTAAGAAAAGAGATTTCAGACATAATATTAAGTGATAATTAGAAACTATTATATATTCGAGAGCTAATTATGAAGAAAAAAAAAATAAGAAGAAGAGTATCTCTAATCAAAATTGATTTTCTAATTTTAATCAGAATCTAATTAGATTTATAATATATCTTATTTTAAAGTTAATTTAGTCATAATATCTTAAAACTATAACTCTCAGGGATTGCATAAAGAACATGAAAGCAAACACATCCAGATAGATAGATAGATAGATATCTTCTTTGACAAAAGTATTTGTTGGCGACTAAGAGGAGCAGGCATACCTGACCAAAGCAAGAGCTTAGAAAAGGAACTAAGAATCCACAGTGTAACTCCACTGCAGGTCACGAGGCTCAACTCCATTGCCAAGTTGGTGTATAGGAAGCTCTATAATTAGCGATCTTCATCAGCCCACTCTTTGGACCAATGAGCTGCACCAACTAAGTTGCATGCTAAAGTCCTTATTCAGATTGGGATGTAAGAGATATTTGAGTTCAATATGTTACTAGCTATTAATATTATCCCTAGTAATATACAGAAAATGAATGTAAATGATTTATTTTGATCCATACAAAACTGGTTTTAGAGACTTGAGATGGTCGAGGAGGATGAGAGAACAAAACAACACCGTAAGTCCATGTGTTACCCTGTTGGTTTCAGATTAACCTGCGCTCTCGCTCTCTCATCATGATGAGGAGCTGAGCTGCTGCCGTCGTGCAGCGTCGCTGTTTGTGTCGAGAATTAAATGAAACGCCGGACCGTGGTGTTCCTGCATGTGGATCGTGGCCCTACAGGACCACTTAACCATGGTTATGGTGGTGCTAATACTACGGAAACCAAGTGGTGTGGCCTCCTCCTCCATGTGATCGTTTGCATCCGAAACCCAATCCCTCTCTCTCTCTCATCTCTTATTGGGGTGCAGATAGGTGTGACGCAGAAGAGAAGTAATGTCGTGATGCAGTCTGCAAGTATCGGATGGCACTCTCAGTTCAAGTTACATGTGGTGATGCTTTTGCGCTTGTGACTGCTCGTGTTTGTCGTTGCAGCAGACAGCAGTAGTCTCGATCGAATAAAGAAGAATGTGTGACATTTCCGAGGCTGGGAAATCCACCGGATACGAGGACTTGTGTGACGAGGCTTTGCTGCAAGGTTTTATGGAATCTCCACCTTATCATCTTCCCCATTTGCTTGCTTAGGCAGCAGAGAGAGAGAGAGAGAGAGAGAGAGAGAGAGTCGCCATCATCTCTCGCAGCATCCGGCTGGGGAGGGAGGAAGTGTTCCACCTGTTCTTGCGGCTGTCTTCGTTCAGCCAGTGGGGTAACGCCGCCGTCACTGTTTCGGGATGATTAAGGTTCAGGAAAAAGACCGCACAGAAGCCGATGGCGTCGATGGACCCCACCGGTTGATCGTTGGGTTGCACGCCGTCGACCAACGAGGGTCTTCCTTTTACTGAATCCTGTCTCTGTCAACTAGTGCGAGACTCCTCCAACATTCCGCGCGTTCAATGGTCACAAAAGAGCCCGATTTGATTGGAACAGGATTCCTATGACCGACCTACACGTGAACCTTCTCGCCCGGCCCCACCACCTGGGTTGGATAGAGATTCGCTAACCCAAGTGGAACCCACGATTCCCACCTACGATTTCCCGTTTCGAGGCAGGTAATTGCGCGGGTAATATACCATCCGGTGCGAAAGGAGACAAACGTCAACCGACGGCAGCCGGTTTCGCCGGTGGCAGATCCCCTGATCCGACCACACGTGCCGAGCGTCACCCCCCCCTCTGTCTCTCTCTCTCTCTCTGGCCATTGTTTTGACGATTAATAATAATAATAATAATAATAATATTTTGTTGATATATACTGTTCACTGTGCATCCAATGATTGAAAGGAAAAAAAAAACATAACAACAAAAGAAAATAAAAACAAACAAAAGTCTTTTTCACTATTATTTATCTCTTGAGATGGGGTTCAGTTGCAACCTTCTTAATCCACCCCTCCTCTCTCTCTCTCTCTCTCTCTCTCTCTCACACACACACACACACACACACATCATCCTCCATCCACCCAATCTCTTCCTCTATGAGGATCCGAAAGAGACCACCCTTCTCCTCCTCCCACTCCCTTCCTTCTCTACCTCATCCCTCAGATCCACCCTGCCAAGTCCACCCACCAAGTGCGAGGCGTGAAACCAAGGAGAGCATAGCAGGAGAAGTGTTGCACCCAGTTGGGGATCTGCTGATAGATCCCCATGAGTTGGGGCAGAATCCGAAAAGACGGCCTGCTCCGGGCCCTCCTCTTTCAGATCCAGTTGCCAACGGCGACAGCCGCAGTCGTGAGCGTGTGCAGGTGCCTGCTTAATTGCCTCCACCTTTGCTCGAAATCTTCTCCCCTTGCCGGGTGCAATGTGGTGATGAGTGCTCACCCTCATGGCGGTGGGGGTTTGGGACTTGTTGCAGGTGCTGAAGGTGAAGGAGGGGCGGTCGGTGGATTCCAACCAGAGATGGAATGCGAAGGCCGATAGCAGTCACAGCCACAGGTAGGTCACTTGACCCCCTTTCCCTTTCGGAAATGCCTTCCTTTTGTATCACCATTGCTTGCGGGTACTAAAAATAAGAGAAGAAAAGCATCCCAAGTATCTGCTGCCACCATATGCCATGCATGCCAGCCTGACCCATCATGACCGCCCACCTCATTCCCACACAGTAATACAACCCCGAACTCGTGGTGGCTCATCACACGAGAGTGAAGAGGCATGTGTGGTTGGTTGCACTGTGGTGCAATGGATGAGATCGATGTGTTTACTGTGCTTGTCTTCCACTCCGGGATCTCCTTCCCTCCCCAGGGTACGTGGCAGCTCAGGTGCAGTAGCATTGGGAGCGGCGGCGCAGACGAAAACGATGGAAGGAAACGATGGTGGAAATGGGGATGGAGGATTGGAAACGAAGCTGGTGGAGAAGGAGAAGAAGGCCAAGGTGACGGCGCGAGCAAGCGCTGGTCCTGCCGCAGCTTATGATAATGATTGCACCAGTGTTGGGGATAGGGATAAGGAGGGATGCGATGGTGGGGCAGCAGTGGTGAGAGCTGGGAACGGGTCGAACGTTGATGGGAGGAGGCGGAGGAGCCCGGCTGTGCCGGTGGAGGGTTCGCGGTGCAGCCGCGTCAACGGCAGGGGGTGGCGCTGCTGCCAGAAGACCCTCGTCGGGTATTCTCTCTGCGAGCACCATCTTGGCAAGGGAAGGCTGAGGAGCATGAGAAGTGTCAGAGGTCAGTTGGGTATACGTAAGCCCCAGTGGAGCACTGGTGGAGGAAATAGCGTCGCACCATCAACTTCAGCGCAAAAGCAACCGGAGGAGGAGGAGCACGCTACACAAAGTCTACACTTGCTTGTTGCTGCCGATAACGAGGTGGGCAAGATAGAGGAAGATGAAGAGGAGGAGGAGGAGGAGAAGACGGTAAGGAAGAAGAGGAAGAAGATAGGCATGGTGAAGGCCCGATCTATCAGCAGTTTGCTTGACGGCACCAACCGCCCGGTGCTGTCGCCGTCGTTGCTATCGCAGGTGCCGGAAGTTGGCAATGAGGCAAAGAGCCGTGTGAGTTGAAGCAATTGGAAGCTGAGGGTGTTGGATTTGCTTCATTCTTTTGCTGTTCCTTTGTTCTGCTTTGATGGAAAACAGGAACACTGTGCAGTTGTTCTAGGAAATCATCATCTACATGAGAGAGAGAGAGAGAGAGAGAGAGAGAGAGAGAGAGAGAGAGTAGTAGTGGTG